TTAAATAACTGGATAGCAACTTTCTCATCTTTAAAATTCCAGATTGCTGTGAGAATTAAACAAAATTAATAATTAAACAACCCAGGGATTGAACCCAGGTCTCCCACACTACAAACAGGGTCTTTACCAGCTGAGCTACCAGGGAAGCCCAAGAATTATGGAGTGGGTAGCCTATCCCTTCTCCAGCAGATCTTGCAGACCCAGGAATTGAACTGGGGTCTTCTGCATTGTAGGTGAGTTCTTTACCAGCTGAGCTACCAGGGAAGCCCTAATAATTCAACAGAATTGCATATATGGAAGCTCCAAGCACAGTGCTTAGGACATACAGAAAATAATTGTTGGTGAATACTAGAATGAAATACTGAAAAGTAGTTTCCATATTTTCCTGTTGGACTTAAACTTTTTCAGAGCTTTTTGCTGTTAGTTAGCTATGACCAAACTAGACAGCATACTAAAAAGCAGAGACATTACTTTGCCAACAAAGGTCCATCTAGTCAAAGCTTTGGGTTTTCCAGGAGTCATGTATGGATGTGAGAGTTGGACTATAAAGAAAGCTGAGCACCGAAGAATTGATGCTTTTGAACTGTCGTGTTGGAGAAGACTCTTCAAAGTCCCTTGGATTGCAAGGCGATCAAACCAGTCAATACTAAGGGAAATCAGTCCTGATTATTCACTGGAAGGACTGATGCTGAAGTTGAAATTCCAATCCTTTGCCCACCTGATGAAAAGAATTGACTCATTGGAAAAGACCCTGATGCTGGGAAAAATTGAAGGCAGGAGGAGAAGGGGATGACAGAGGATGAGATGGCTGGATGGCATCAGCAACTAAATGGACACTAGTTTGAGCAAGCTTCAGGAGTTGGTGAGGGACAGGGAAGCCTGCAATACTGCAGTCCATGGGGTCGCAAAGAGTCAGACATGACTGAGCAACTGAAGTGAAACTGAATGGTAGCTTATCCTCCTAACCATCAGTCAGAGTTGAGCATGTTGGAACACCTTTCTTGGGACCCAGAGACTAACATGTAGCATTCTACCTGGTATTGATCATGGGGTCTCAGAAGTTCTTTCTTCCTCTTGTACCATCATGCTGCATACTTTACACAATATTGTTCACAAGGTTGATGTCATTTTTAGAATGAGTTAACAATAAGTTCTAATTTGATGCAACAACTTGCAGCTATCTAACTGCATAGATAGAAGCAAAGTATCCAGAGCATAAGATATAAGCGCTCTCTATTAGGCAGAACACAGGGAATTATACCTCTCAGATGGTAAAGAATCCATCTGCAATGCAGGAGACCTGGGTTCAATCCCTGGGTTGGGAAGATCCCCTGGAGAACTCCATGGACAGAAGAGCCTGGTAGGCTAGAGTCCATGGGGTCAGAGTCAGACATGACTGAGAGACTAACACACTCTGTACATTATGATCCTACATTGTCTGCACAAATGTCTTGAGAAAGCAAAACAAAATATTTTTTGTAATGTTAAACACCTCGAACTAGGATCACAGGGTTGATATGAAGACACAATTAGATCTTGAGTTAGGTACATTTTCTAATGACTAAAGCTGCCAGACAATAGAATGGGCTGTGTTAGTACTGAACAATTTCTGTGCTAGTGACTCTGCTAACATATATCCTGACCTCCTCTTTAGGAGGAGACTGGAGGAAACATAACCTAACTCAAAGACCACTGATTTTAGTCCTGTGATCTTCAGCAAAACCCTTTCCATTTTCTTTCTCTTTGAAGCTATTGCTTTACTATATAGTTTTGAGCATTTTAAACAGAAAAATCATTTCATGTTTATTAGAATCTAATGGAATTAGCATTATATCAGTGATTGCTACTTCTCAGGGGTCACTGTAGGAGGCTTTTACCTTTATTTGTTTAGTACTTATAATGACCCTGAAAATATTATTTTCACAATTTTACAACTAGTACATGAAGAAGTGTCCATGATATGTTGTTGAATGATAAAAATACAAAACATTATGTATAATGTTTCACTAATTATGGAACCCAGTTCCATAATTCTCCACATTTACTCACTTGTGTACACAGCTATGTACATGATACACAGATGAAAATGGTCAGAATTATACACAGTAAATTGGTCACTATATCTGTATCTGGGTTATGGATTTTGAAAGCTTCTTAGCTTCTTTCTTGGACTCCTCTGAGCCTCTAAATCATCTACAACGATGAGCATTACTTTCGTACTCAGAGAACAATGACTATATTAGCAGTCATATAGCTTTATAGAAAACAAATAACTCAAGATGACAGCGAGTAAGTAGCAAACTTGGCATCATTTCCTGCCATAGATGCAGTTGAGGGGAGGGAGTTCACTCTTACCTGAGTCCAACATTTGGAGTTGTTCTTTGTCCCACTTTTGTTTCCAGCCCAGTTTCATTGTCACTGATTAGAGCACAGAAGGAGAAAGAATGGCCCGTTCGCTTAATGATGACAAATAGCAGCTTTGGTCTTTACCTGGGAGGCTGTGGTAACCTGGGCCTGCCTTTTGTGTGTGCCCATGGGCGGCAAGCAGGAACTCAGCGCTGTAGCTGGACCCTGGCTGGACTCCAATTTGGCGTGTGTCTCACATTGTTTGGGGAACATTTTGTGCCGGTGGAGACACACTCCTCTCCCGAGGCGTAGAGCTAAGAAAACAAAAGCTCCTGGTGCCAAGGCTACCGGCCTTATCTGTAAATCACTTATTCTTTTTTCTTGTCTCTTCAAGGGTGCTTTGACCTTAGCTCAGAGCTTGAGCAGGCACAACTCATCAATTTTTTTCACTGACAAGTTAAGAGACCAAGTGAATTTAGCCTGCCTGATTGTTGAAACTGTATTGAGTCTTAGATATGACCAATTAGAATACATGCTTACTATGTGTGTATATGTATGTGTGTGGATGCAGGCATATGTTTATAACTATATATAAATGATCATTCATCAAAATTGTAAATGTACATGAGAATTAATTTTACTTCTTGATAATTTTAGCCACATTAGCTGATTTAATCCTTTTCATGTCTCTGCACACTAGGGTGAAAGTGTTGATAAAATGAAGAGAGGACAGTAGGTCTTTATTTCTAATGTCCATTTATAGTGTAGAGGGCCACTAATGATTTTCAACTCTACTTTCACATTTATAGAGGTAAAACTGGAAACTACAAAGATGTAAGAGAATCCCTTAGGGTCAGAAAGCTAGTTCACTACAGAATCAGACTAAAATAATAATGTCTCACTTTTAATTCAGTACTCTTTACACCAAATTTCTAAGGGATGGCTATCTCAGTATCCGCAACACAGTTAGAAAATATAATTTATATAGTGATTGGTATTTTAATGAGAGGAAAATGAGTGGAAAGTGTTAACAGGGATTATTTTTGTGGCAGGGGCTGATTGGTGATTTTATTATGTTTAATTGCTATCTGAATTTTCTAAAATATCTGCTTAAATAGTTACTACCTTAGTGGTATGCATTTTAACACACATGTTAGCCCCTATGTTTTAAGCATGCTACTAGGGACTTCACACATCAATGTTATCATTTACTCCTCATAGCCCATCTCAATAATAGATTCTTATAAAAGTGTGTTGAATATAATAGAATCCAAAAGTAATAGTGTCCAGAGATGACTCTAAAAATCCCTCCTAGAATTCTTCCTTAGATGCCTGTGTGACTTCAGGTCCAAGATTATCCTAGTAACAGGAAGTGATTCCAGATAGGTCTCAAACTTTAATATCTTCCTAAGAAGCCACTGAACAATTTGAAAAGGAAGATTTCTGTTGTGAGTGACTCTAGGCTGCTCACAGGTCACTGGCCAGGAACGTTCACCCCATGGGGTCAACAGACAGGCAGCTGAGTTGGTTGCTTTCAAAAATCTGTGCAAAATAAAGACTTACAATGATCAATTATATCTACACCCATTAGATATTAAACATTAAAGACTCCAAAATGAATAGTTGAAGCAGAGGAATTTTGTGTGATGTTTCAAGGCTGCTTTTATTTATTAACATGCCTTCATCCTATATATATATATATATAAGCAGTCCAGGGAGCCCAGAGACACATGAGATCACACCCTGAGTTCCACACTCTGTGTTTCCACAAGTTCCAGCTAGCTCAATGAGTGTTTGCTCCATGCACCCTCCTAAGGGGTCGGAGTTAGGCCTAAGTGAAGAATACTGCTTCACTCAGTCTTCACTTCCACAGTCTTCTCCACACCTGCACCCTGAAGCATCTAGGATCCCTCTGGAATGTGAATAGTCTTCCAAACTCAGTGAAATTCCAACTCTGCCTCCAAAGAGTTCAAATGTCAGGTCAGAGTCAGAAGCTCCCGTTGTGCTCACTTACAGCCAGAGGCTGTCAGAGCTGCTCTTGGTTCAGAACCACATTTGAAGGTCCCATAAGTTCTCTGGTGTAGGCTGGAGAAAGTAAGACAAGAATACTCTCTACTGCTGACAAGCAGCTCAGATCTTCACTCCTTCACAGAAGAGGATGACTCGTTTTACCCCTGAAACATGCCTCTGGCTTTGTTGCCTGGTAATTATGAGATTTCCTCTGCCTATCTTGGCACAGACCCCTGGCTATTGCCTACACACATGCTGGGTCATCACCTGGATTATCCTCTAGTTGACCTGCATGACACTAGACACCCATGTGGATGGCTGACATTTGTCTATCTCTGGACCTATTTTCAGCTTTATTAGCCCTTATTTATTACATACAGCTGGGCTTATCTTTCTCTACTGCCTATCCCCCATGGACATCCAAGTACCCATCCTTGCTGTTTCACTGCCGATGGAACTTCTGAGCTGTTTGTGATCTATGTTTTTAATCCGGGGAGTAGTTATTTGGCCATCAGATGCCATCTGGTATATGATGTTGGTGTTTAATAATCAGAATCATTCTTTAGGGTGTATATAGATCAAGGAGAACCGCAAAGCCAGGACAACAGCTGTCCTGTCAAAATGAAGCAAACCAAACCAAACACTTGTTGGAGGTCAATATATATAGGTCTCTGTCTAGATCATTGTGCTATCAGGAGGAAATTTTTGCTGTTTCTACTCTGGTGATCAGTGGTTCCATCTGTAAAAAACAGAAACAAAAACATAACAAAAATAAGAAAAGCAATTGGACTTACTGTACACTAGAGTCATAAGCACAACTCCCCCAAAATATACTTTCAAAAAGGTTAATGTGCATTAAAAATTAGTCTTAATTGGGGTGGTCTACATTAAAAAAAAAAAAAAATTAGTCTTAAACGAGTAGACGGGCATCAGAGCAAAGGGTGCATCTGTGGCTTGGGGAATAGCATAAAGAGCTGCTACAAATCTGTTCTGTTTCCTCTCTGTATGGACTTCAAGTGAAGCCAGAGGATGTAGCTGTACTTAATGTGCATATGGACCCTCACATAGTGTTTTTGACCACCCTATGGTGAAGCCAGCTCTTTCCAGGTACAATAGGTTCCTTCTCTGAGTCACTGTCCAGCCCTTGTTGACTTCAGCTTTCGGGGGAATGAGAATATCATCCTTGGAAGGATGCTTCTATTTTTCCCAGGACCACAAATGGATTTATGAATAATCTGTACACTCCGTTTTTTCTCAGCCCAACAAAATGTCGCATTGGTAACTCCTGCTTGAAATGGAGTCAGATTTAATTGTGTCCTGAAAGGTGCAATCCAATTTCATTAGCTAACCATGGGCTTCCCTGGTGGTTCAGTGTATAAAGAGCTGCTACAAATCTGTTCTGTTTCCTCTCTGTATGGACTTCAAGTGAAGCCAGAGGATGTAGCTGTACTTAATGTGCATATGGACCCTCACATAGTGTTTTTGACCACCCTATGGTGAAGCCAGCTCTTTCCAGGTACAATAGGTTCCTTCTCTGAGTCACTGTCCAGCCCTTGTTGACTTCAGCTTTCGGGGGAATGAGAATATCATCCTTGGAAGGATGCTTCTATTTTTCCCAGGACCACAAATGGATTTATGAATAATCTGTACACTCCATTTTTTCTCAGCCCAACAAAATGTCGCACTGGTAACTCCTGCTTGAAATGGAGTCAGATTTAATTGTGTCCTGAAAGGTGCAATCCAATTTCATTAGCTAACCATGGGCTTCCCTGGTGGTTCAGTGATGAAGAATCTGTCTGCAATGCAGGAGACACAGGTTTGATCCCTGGATTGGAAAAGATCCCCTTTAGAAGGAAATGGGAACCTACTCCATTATTCTTGCGTGGAAAACCCACGGACAGAGGAGCCTGGCAGGCTGCAGTTCACGGGGTGGCAGAGAGTCGGACATGACAGCAACTAAAGGACAACAAAGCATGACTACTCTTGTCACATTTACGTGTTTTACATCTCATTGATGTTTTCACATCGATTATCTTACTTTATTCCCAGAATAGCATTCCAAGGCAAATGAGAGAGATTATCACTTACCTAAAGTGGAAACTGCCACCCAAAACTAAAAGTACTTATTAATAGATTCACATAGCTAAAATCCATATTTCCTGATTCCAGATGAATGCTTTCTTTTCGTAGTCTCAAATACAAAGTCAGATGTCAGAGTGCTATCAGCCTACAGTATTAACTGACCACATACTATAATTATATGTATTGTAGTAGCTGTATTATTTGCATACACAAAAGCAAGAATTATCCCGGTTTACCTCTCTATAATTCGAAGTTTGTATCTAATAAAGGAGAAAGTCTCTCACAGTGGTAATTGCTACATTTCCCTAACACCATTATTTTAGGAAATGTCTAACCAGGGCTAAGACGCTAAGACTTCCCAGGTGGGTCAGTGGTAAAGAATCCACCTGCCAACGCTGGAGAAATAGGAGACAGGAGCTCAATCCCTGGGTCAGGAAAATCCCCTGGAGAAGGAAATGGCTACAGTCCATAGGGTCGCAAAGGGTCAGACACAACTGTAGCGACTTAGCACAGCACTGCACAGCACAACCATGGCTAGAACTGAACAAGGCTTTCCACTGGAAACAAGCCTCGATATTTGCGCAGATAAAAGGTTGGTTTCAAAGTGTTGCCAGAAGATGGCGCTGTGCATTAGCAAACATCTTGCCTGGGGACGTATAGCAAGATAGGGGGGTTTAAGGTGAATGAGACAAATACCATCTGAGGGAAAAATAGTGAATAGCTAATACAGAAAAAAAAAAGCACATTTATGTCGCTTAGAAAAGGGAGGTTTAAAATGTGAGTTAACTTTTTATTAAGCTTTTGAAACAACTCTTATTTAGCTTATAACTCAGAATAGTGCTGGTGAGTCAAATCGAATAGAAATTCCATTCACCCCAGTGGGGAGATTTTCCCTAGCATAGAGAAAGGCTTGTATCCTGTGACATTAAGTATATATAAGTGTTAAATGTTGCCCAGTTAGTTTCCAATATGAGCTGTTTCTTCTCTACCTCTCATCTTTCCCCATCTCTTGGCTCTGTTCCTCATACTTCAAAACTCTCTTCTAAAAGTCCACGGGGTTGCAAGGAGTTGGATATGACTGAGTGACTGGAAGGAAAAAAAAATATATTTCCATCTATTATTGAAGAACTAGGTGCATCTCATATTTTCTTACAAATGTCTTTTACAAGAGTATGAAATCAATGGATTCTATTGATTTTATCTTGACATTCCTAACATTATACTTACAGTCAATAAATGTTTATTTAACATTGAATAATTGATTAGTGAATCACACCATAGCCTAGTGATAGAATTTCCTGTACACATATTTAGTCACCACTTTCGAATCTATTTATTGAGTTCTTGTTAGTCTCTTGGTCACAGAGCTTATAATCTAGGAGAGGAAATAATAGCTAACTGAACTCTAGTGTGGCAGGTGTATGACAGTGGAAAGATAGGATTCTATGAAAGGACAAAGGAAAGTTACTTCTCTTCAAGTTGATATTAGGGGTTAGGAGAGGTTTTTCCAAAGAAATGAAGTCTACTTTTCTATCTGAATAATGAGTAAAGAAATGCAGTCTATTGAGAATATTCCAGAAAACATTTCAGAAAGACTAGAGATCAGAAAATATATCACTGAATACATGAGTAACAAGGAAGTTAATTTTACTTAAAAAGCACTGTGTGATGAGGAGTGTCAGAAGGTAAGGTGGGAAATTTAGGTGCTGTTAGGTATTGGAATTTGGCCTAATAGTAAAATGAAATGTAATAATTCATGCATGAGAGTGATGTGATCAGATTTAGATTTTTCGAAGATCATTCTGGCTGAAGTGAGGAAACTGAGTTGTATTTGTTGTAGGTGTGGTGGAAAGGATTATGGTGCAATACAGGAAGCAGAGAGACCAGTCAGGGAACTGTTGCAAAAACTGATATGCTCTGATTGTTACTAGGGTAGTGAACAGATCTGGAGAGAGAGTTAGGCCAGCAAGAAAGATTTTTAAGGGGCTGCCAACCTAAAAATTCCTGGTGGCTAAGACAGTAAAGAATCTTCCTGTAATGCAGGAGACACAAGTTCAATCCCCTGATCAGGAAGAATCCCTGAGGGAGGAAATGACAACCCACTCCAATATTCTTGCCTGGAGAGTCCCATGGACTGAGGAGTCAGGCGGGCTACAGTCCATGGGGTCGCACAGAGTTGGATGCGATTTCCACTTTCTTTTTTTTTTTTTTTTCTACCTGAAAAGAGAAGGTTGAAAGTTAGTCACTTAGTCATGATCGACTCTTTGTGACGCCATGGACTGTAGCCCACCGGGCTCCTCTGCCCATGGAATCCTCCAGGCAAGAATACTGAGGAGGAGGAGCCAAGATGGTGGAGGAATAGGACAGGGAGACCACTTTCTCCCCTACAAATTCATCAAAAGAACAATTGAACGCAGAGCAATCTTCACAAAACAACTTCTGATCGCTAGCTTAGGTCATCAGGAGGCCAGAAAAGCAGCCCATTGTCTTAGAAAGGAGGTAGGACAAAATATAAAAGATAAAGACAAGAGATCCATCCCGGGAAGGGAGTCTTAATAGAGGAAGTTTCCAAACACCAGGAAACCCTTGCACTGGCGGGTCGGGGGGAAGTTTTTGAATCTCGGAGGACAACCTAACTGGGAGGGGAAAAATAAATAAAACCCACAGATTACGTGCCTAAAAGCAACTCCCAGCAGAAAAGTACCCCAGACGCCAGCATCCACCACCAGCAAGAAGGGGCGGAACGGAGAGGAGCAGGCGGCATTGCTTAGGGTAAGGACCGGGCCTGAGTGCCCTGAGGACAATCGGAAGAAGCTTTTGTGAGTTACCAACTTAAACTGTGGGACAGCAAAAGAGAGAAAATTAACCGGCCCGAACACACTGCCAGCCGTTCACAGAACAAAGGGACCGAGCAAGTCCAGAGGAGCTAGCCGGCTGCGGACCGGCCCAGCCCCGCCGGAGACTGGAGGCAGGGGGGAGGGGAAAGGGGCAGGCTTGGCCCCAAAGACGGCATCCCCTACCACACTGCAAACAGGCCTCCAGTTTCTAACCAAAGACTTCCTGAGATTCTGGATGGTTGACATCCGCAGGGAGGGTCGCAGCTAGACACAGGGCGCACGCACCCAGCCAGTGTGGGTGGGGACTGGGGCTGGGGATGCGGAGGGGATAAGGCGCGCTGCACCCGGGGAGAGTGCGCCCGTCAAGCTCCTGGCTGCCTGAGCTGCTTGAGCTGGGGCAGGCACAAAACGCAGGCGCAGCCGAGTCCGTGCTTTTGTGGAACACCCGAGGGCTGGAACCGCCAGGAGCCTGAGCCGCGTAGACGGGGAAAGCAGCGCCCCTCCCTCCCCGCAGCGCGAAGGAACTAGCGAACCTGAACAAGAGACCACCTCCAACCGCTGTGTCAAGGCGGAAATTAGGCACTGAAGAGACTGGCAAAAAGAAGCCAAATAAACAAACAGAAGCGCTTCAGAAGGGACCGGTGCAACAGATTAAAATCCCTGTAGAGAACACCAACTACATTGGAAGAGGCCTATAGATATCGAGAAGTGTAAGCTGGAACGAGGAGCTATCTGAAACTGAACTGAACCCACACTGACCTCAACAGCTCCAGAGAAATTCCTAGATATATTTTTACTTTTTTTTTTAATTAAAAAAATTATTTTTCTTTTCTTTTCTTTTTTATTTTTTCCTCTTTTATTTTCTTTTAAAATTCCCTATTACTCCCCCATTACTCCTTAACTTGCATTTTCATAGATTTTTACAATTTTTATAATTAGAAAAAATTTTTTTTCTTTTTTTCTTTTATCTTTTCTTTTTACTTTTTTTCTTTTTCTCTTATTTCCTTTTAAAGTCCTCTATTACTCCTCTACTACTTCTTGATTTTCAGTTTCATTTCACTATAACCTTGCAAAAAAAAAAGAGAGAGAGAGAGAGAAGCCCTATTTTTAAACCAAACTTCATATATATTCCTAAAATTTTTGCGTTTTTGTTTGTTTTTAATATTGTATTTTTAAGAGTCTAACCTCTACTCTAGATTTTTAAACTTTGTTTTTCAATATGTGATATAAATTTTGGACATTTAAGAATCCAATATTCAGTTCCCATTTTTATTCAGGAGTGTGTTGATTACTCTCTCCCAATTTTGACTCTCCATTTTCTACCTCAGAACACCTCTATTTCCTCTTTTCCCCTTCTCTTCCCAATCCAATTCTGTGAATTTTTGTGGGTGGCTGGGCTACGGAGAACACTCTGGGAACAGACAACTGTGTAGATCTGTCTCTCTCCTCTTGAGTCCCCCTTTTTCTCCTGATGCTCATCTCTATCACCCTCCTCCCTCTCCTCTTCTTCATGTAACTCTGTGAACCTC